CGCAATCGCTTCCTCACAGTGTACCTGCCTCGTCAACCCCGCCTCCAGGTATTCACCATTTACCCGCCCGCCTGGCTCACGGGCTCCAGCACCCTAGCTAATCCAGACCCAGCCCAGCCAGCCATCGATTCTGGCCGGCCACTCTTGTCGACCAACGCACAGCACGACAGAAGAGGACAGGGGCCACCTTTTATCAGCTCCGGGCAGCTACAGCACCTAACTAGCCTATCCTATCCCGTGCTCCGTGTCTCGGCTGGTGCTACGCCGTGGGCCCAGCCTCCAGTCTAGTCTAATCCACAGTAGTCACCACTGACAACACGATACGCCCGTCCGTCCCCTCCAGCCGTCAAACATCCTCCCGCCGTTATCACGGGAGAAGACGATACAGACCTTCATCGACAAAGCTCCTCTTTGAGCCCGCTACCCCGTATCCGTACCTGCATCGCTGTCGCATACCACCTTCTCCATCTACGATAGCCTCCCCTCCCGCCCCAAGCGAAATGCCCTCCGGGACGACCCCCGTCGTCTGACGCCCCTCCCCCATTTCCACCCATCGCGGGACAGCCGGCCGCCGATCGAGACGGGCCTTTTCTGTCCATATCGCTCAGTGCACTCTTTCGTGGCAGAACTCTACTTCTCTTCTGGCCATCAACATAGATTCACCGCATCCATTTTGCAACCCCGTTATTCGACGACGATTCTTTGTTATTTGTCACACACAGCGACACACGACAATCACCGCCTTGGTCCCCAACACCGCCGTATAAAGACCAGCGGCTCGTGTGCGCAATCGCGCCATCCGGCTAACCTCGAGCAGCCGCCGCCGTCCTCCCAGCATTCATCATGGGTAACTCGAGTACAAAAGAGGCCCGGCCTGAGGGTGATCCCGGTCGGCGCCATTCAACGCCTGGAGATCCCTCAGTCCGGGAATACATGAACATGAGGGAGTCGGGGACAGCTTCACGAAGACGCATGAGTAGGGCAGAGATCTTTGGTATTGGCGCTGGCTCCTCCCGCGAAAGACAGGATGTTCCTTTTGAACGTCGCGAGACTAAGCAAGAACGCGAGGCGAGAAGACTTGAAAGAGAGCGGGTTGCGCGAGCCAAGGAACGTGAGCGCAGTATGCGCGAGGAGCACATCGATGGAGGTTATCTGGTCACATTGGGCACCTACACGGGAACAGAAGATTTCAGCAAGCCTGTTGTGAGGCAACTGCAGGTATTTCTTACCGCTACTACAATAATCGTTATCATGCTGACAGCTGTACTCTAGATTGAGAGAAAGCTTGCGCCCTTTTGGCAAGGTCTCAACGATTGGTCTCCTAGCTGGACTGAACACCAGCTGATTGCCGCTGCCCGCGGCCTTCCGATCCCCGCCGCCGATGCGCCTCCCGATCCGGACTTGATACCACAGCCGCCTCCTCCCGTGGAGCATCCATCAGCCTCGAGCCAGAACCTTATGGTGCCCATGGGGCCTCGAACGCTTTCCGTGGCATCGGATCGTAGCGGATCTAATGCTGGATCAGGACTCCCATCCCCCGTATCGGCCGGGCCAAACAAGTCGAGCTCTCCGTTCAAGCCTCGAGCAAAGGCGCTCGCCGCTGCCCTGAGTGTGGGATCTCGCAACGCCTCGTCGACGGATCTATCACCCAAGGAAGTGACTCTACCTCACGATCCCTTTGTTAACGGCCAGCCGCTCGAGGTCTTTTTGTATAAGGATGCTGACGACTGTCCCATCTGCTTCCTTTCTTACCCCCCTTATCTTAACCACACGCGATGCTGTGATCAACCTATCTGCAGTGAATGCTTTGTACAGATCAAGCGCGCAGACCCTCATCTTCCCGAGCATCACCCCAACGGCGAGGCCAGAGACCCTACTCAGGGTATTACACCCGACGACCCCCCAGAGATGCTTACTTCGGAACCATCGTCGTGCCCATACTGCCAGCAGCCAGAGTTTGGCGTCACGTACGATCCTCCCCCGTTCCGCCGTGGCCTCGTCTACAATACCATGCATGGCAACCTTCCGTACGGCACGGCCATGTCGTCCCAGAGCTCATTGAATAGTACACTTCCCCCAACCTCGCCGGCGCCAACCGGTCGCAGGCGCACACATAGTTTGTCTGCGAATGCGCCAAATGTCATCACTACAGATCGCGTACGGCCTGACTGGGCAGCAAAGCTGGCATCGGCTAGAAATCACCAGGCCCGTAGAGCCGCTGCCGCCACCGCGCTTCACACCGCCGCTTTTCTTATGGGTGGAAATGAGCAGAGATCGATACTGAGACCTGGACGTTTCAGCAGGAGGAACACTGGAAGCAATAACAATGCCAGTGGAAGCACCCAGAACCAGAGCCAGGAGGACTCTCAGATCGACGCGACCGAGGGACCAGAGCCTGGTGTTAGGGACTCATCTAGGAGCATTCCCGGAGCTCGACGCAATAGGATGGACGAACTTGAAGAAATGATGTTTATGGAAGCCGTTCGTCTTTCTTTGGCTGCGGAAGAGGAACGCAAGCGCAAGGAAGAAAAGGCTATACGAAAGGAGGCAAAGAAGCGAGAGAAGGAAGAGCGGAAAGCAGCCAAGAAGGCTGGTGCTCATCCATATGGTGGCAGCGCCAGCGGTGCAAGTGGAAGCAGTCTGTCTTTGGGTCTGGGTCGACGACGTGGCAATAGTACTGCCAGCAACTTGAGGATGGAGGCTACAGTCTCGAGGGCATCGCAAGCATCCAGCACTCCCGAAACACCAGCGGAAACCAGAGCCAAGGACGAGAACGCAGGAAAGGGCAAAGGAGTTGATCGAGGTCCCCAGGAATCTCACACCGGACCGACGTCATCCTCCAGCTCTCTTCCTCTTCCATCAGCACCTCCCCGAGGAGGATCGCATCTTAGACAGATGAGCAACGCTTCCTCGGTCGGATCGTCTATTGCGGACAGCCCTGCCGGTAGCTACGCTGGGCCGGGATACACAGGCGCCGATGGAAACCCTCGGTCTAGTGGACTGAGCCTTGGCGCCTACAGTGACGATGGAGATCGCGATGCGGGAAGCGCTGGAGCTGAGCCCATGTTCAACTTTAGCAGCTTGGCTCAGATGGTCGGGGCCAATCTCGAAGATGGGTCTGTTCGGCGCGATGGTGACGACACGGAGTCTCCTGGTAGCGGTGTAGCTCCACACCCACGACCACTATCCCAGGTGAAGGAAGATGATAAGGAGGACGCGGATATAGAACATGTGGAGGAGGGTGGGCAAGCTCCCAAGACGGAGGTATACACGGGCTCTCTCTGCCCACCTGCGTTGACCATTACACCGGAAACGCCAGCACCCACGAATGATAACGAGGCAGAGGACAAGCAGCTTGGACACCCGACAGTGGCAACGCTGGCACAATAAACGAACAAGGCGGTCAACTAGGCGAGATTCGACAGTAAGCACAAGTGGAGTCAAGTCGTGCGGGATTGTACAGAGATGAATCGGTGAGTAGACAGTCAACGACGGATGAATAGTATGTATTTTGTATACGACAAGCAAAGGAAGGGCATGCCGAGGGTGGGCAGGTAGCGGGCATGTAATATTTGTGCCATGAAAACTTGATTTAGCGACACTTGTTTCGATGTGAAGTTGGTGATGGAACCTGTCATGCAGGAACAGAGGAACAGATGGCCTTGACTTGACTAATGATCTACATAGGGCAAGGTCGAAATTGCAACATGTGGAACTTGAGTTTCCTATTTTGCATCGAATCCTCTCAATTTGGGGTTAATTCTTCTCAATTTGGGGTTAATATTCTTGTCACACCAGTTTGGCCTCGCGAGGGGCTGGTGGGATTGGCCAAGTCAATGCACACACATTCAATGGGACGACATACGAACCCTGAATTAGGCCCAAATCCCCCAGTTCCAAGACTTTTAATCCTACGTTTCGAATCCTTCAGCTGATGTCATCTTGCCTATGCCAGTTCGCCAAGGTACGAGTTATGCCAAGAGTTGTCGCAATTGGCCCATGATCCCTGTGTTCGGCCCCGAGATTGAAGGGCCCCCGGAGTGAAGTTTCACAAGCGAGGACATGGAACGATGAAGCGAAATTCGACTGTTTCCGCTTGAGGGCCAAGGCTGATGTGAGATTTTGGGTATCCTTGTTTGGGTAAGAGATATAGAAGAGTTGAAGGTCTCTTGAATGGTTCTTATTTGGTTCAGTCACTCTTTTTGCTTTACAACGCAGGATTCTTTTCAACTCTTTCTTCTGTTATCCATGTGTACCCCACAGCCCACCATGTCTCGCCAGGTCTACGCCCATTACATGGTATTTACCACTGCTCCAGCTAATATTTCACACGTCTAACAATGTCTAGGTCGGTCTCACCGACGGGCAATCACCCGAACAATGGCAAAAGGACATTTCCGACGCCCAAGCAGTCGGAATCGACGGTTTCGCCCTCAACATCGGCACAGACACATGGACCTTGACCCAGCTCCACCAAGCCTACGCAGCCGCCGAGGCCGCTTCTTTTGGTCTTTTCCTCTCGTTTGACATGCAGACGGCTTCTTTCGATTCTGCCGCCGTTGTTGATCTTATCAATACTTTCAAGGACTCGCCGGCGCAGATCAAGACGGATGAGAGGCCGCTTGTTAGTACTTTTGAGGGTGCTGGGTGGGCGGATCAGTGGGGGAGTGTCAGGCAGGGGACTGGGGGTATCTTTTTGGTGCCAGATTGGAGCAGTATTGGACCTGGTGGGTTGAAGGACAAGTTGAGCATTGTTGATGGAGCTTGTAAGTGTTTGTTGAAAGGGGGGTTGGGTTTATGCTAATGAGTACAGTTTCGTGGAATGCTTGGCCTGCGGCTGGACAAACAAAGATGACAGCCGACGAAGACCACGAATACAAGTCTGTCCTTGGAGATAAGCCCTTCATGATGGGAGTTAGCCCTTCATTCTACGTCAGTAAGTATCTGTCCCTAACCCCTCGTCATCAAACACAACTAACAAAGTACAAGACCTTGCGGAATGGGGCAAGAACTGGTATTCTTCCAGCGAATCCCTCTGGTACGACCGTTGGCTCCAAGTTCTCGACGTCCTCCCCGATGCCATCGAGATCATCACCTGGAACGATTTCAGCGAGTCGAGCTATATTGCGGATATTGTTCCTTCGCAGATTGTTCGTGGTGCAGAGGTTTATGTCGATGGATATGAGCACTCTGCTCTGCGCTCTCTGCTGCCTTATTTCATTCAGGCTTACAAGGCTGGATCTCCTGACGTGCCTCTTCCCAATGGAGAGACGGCTGTTGCTTGGTATAGAACCACATCCGCTACCCTTGGTTCCGATGGAGGCACCGTCTGGGGCCAAGACGGTACCGAGAGCGCAAGCGTCGGCGCCAAAGACGTCGTCAGCGTCGTAGCCATCACAACCGGCGAAGAAGAAGTCCTCATCAAGATCGGAGACTCTCGAGAGGAGAGGTTCATCGCCAACGGCACCGGTACCAGGGCGAGCTATTTTGAAGTCCCCTTTGATGGCAGTCTCGGCGAGGTCACGCTCCAGATGGGAGATCGAAGTGTTGTCGGAGGCGCTATTACTACTAATATGCCTTCGACGGGATACCTCAACTTTAACTCTTTGGCTATTGGACTTTAAATGTCTTGCCTGGTTTAAAGCTGTGTGTATACTTTCGTGAGACTGGGTCGTCTTAATATTCTTGTATTTTTAGACAAAAAAGATGTCATGTCTTCTTGACTTCAACTTGAAACTTGTCTATCCAATCCGTAAACTCATCCTTTTCACCCTGCCATCCCAACTTAAGCACTTCACCAACCCCAGCAGCACTGTTAAAGCACTCCTCCATAAGCCTATCAATCTCTTCAGGATCAAGATCATAGAATGCACCAGCCAAATCTCCAAACTCGTCCGGTAGCCCTTCTAGCACATTTGCCGTCTTGTCTAGTCGCTGGGGCATGTCGGATTTCGTGGTATCCTTGGGGAGTTTCTTGAAGCGGCGCTTGGAGATGGCTTGATATAGGAGGACAATCATTCGGAGACGCTTGAGAGTTGAGTCGAGACGGGGACGGATCTTGTCGGGGTCTGACTTGGGGATTGTTCCTCCTGAGCTCATTAGGTCGTCGAGCATGTCTTGCTTCGAGATGGAGGCGTCGCCGAGTTGATCTGCCAGGTCGTCCACCTCATCTTCGTCTTCGTCGTCATCTGGTTCCTCGTCTCCCCATTCCTTCATCTCCTCCATGACATCCTTGAGTGTATCTCTCCATTGTTCAGCCTTCTTGACAAAGAAGCCTCCCACGCCCATGGTAGCCAAACCAATGACATCGTCGCAAGCTGACCAGAGCATACCCGTCAGAGCGAGACTGCCCTTTCCGCCATCTCTGTTTCCACCAGAGAGAACCTTGCCATCCTTAGGAACCCTCTGCAGTAGCTTTTCTAGCTCAGCTAGAACATTTTGTGCTCTATAAGCAAGCTCTTTCCGAACAACAGCAGTGTATAGGTTCGTCTCGCATGCCTGTGCGGCACTCGCCAAACCGGGGATAGGACCCTTGACGAGTTCTCGAATAACGGTGGCCACGGCACTCGGTGTAAATGGTTCGTTGATGACGAGGAGAGAAATCTTTGTCCCGTGGGCTCGGATGAGGGAAGACGAGTCGCGGGCGAGAGCTAGGGCGTCGATGTCTGAAGAGGGAGAATCTGACGTGGACGAGGAGGATGGGTTTCGTTGGATCTCGGTGAGGACAGACTGGAGTTGTTTGAGGAGGGTTCTAGCTGTTTCGACGAGTGTGCTAAGGGCCTTGATGGCTTCTTGATCTGTAGGGGCCATTTTGAATACAACCGTAGAATAAATGAGTGTCGATATTCTCAGTTGGTGACTCTTGATGTTTTCTTTGGAGGGGCAACATTTTTTCTTTCTTATCCCCCACCTTTTAGTGCCCTCACCCCTCCAGTGGGTCCATCATTCCATCCATCACCGAACATTTACCGCCCAGGGGTTGTCAAGCCCCCTGTAGTTAGGTTAGTTTCAGTGGGTACCTCTCCCTTGTCGGTGTCGGTCTCGTCTCCTTCTGGCTGACCTGTCCAAACTCCAACTCTCAACGAGAGCGAGAGCTTCATCATTTGAACATTTAAAGCCTCGACACGTACAAAATGCAGCATCCAAGCTCTGTAGCTCTGCTGAGCGCTATCTACGCCTTTACATTGGCCGCTGCTGGCAGTCTGCCAAGAGGCGTAGGCCCTGAATGTACACACTCTCCTCCTGAAGCTATCCACAAGCTTTGAGCTAACAGCTATCAAGTCGCCGCTCACTACGACGGCAAGGAGACCTTCTCTTGCATCACAAACGCAGCCATCAAGCTGAGCTTGAGCCAGGTCAACGATAACTCGTGCGATTGCCCCGACGGCTCCGACGAACCTGGCACCGCTGCCTGCGCCAACATCGATCCTCTCTCCCCCGAGCAGCCCCTTGAAGGTTCCGTGTCTGGCACGACCAACACCACTAATGCTCTTCCTGGCTTCTGGTGTGCCAATGAGGGTCACATTGGCATGTATGTGCCTTTTAGTTACGTCAATGATGGCGTGTGCGATTACGATATCTGCTGTGATGGCACCGAGGAGTATGGTGGTGTAGGCGGTGTCAAGTGCGAGAACCGATGTGCCGAGATTGGAAAGGAATACAGGAGGTTAGAAGAAGAGAAGCGAAAGAATATGGAAAAGGCAGCCGAGCAACGAGACGTTCTCATCAAGGAAGCTCAATCTCTCCGTCAACAGGTCGAAGCCAAGGTCATCGACCTCAAGAAGGAGATTGCCAACCTCGAAGCCAAGAGAGAAGAGCTAGCCAAGAAGCACCGCGAAGTCGAGCAAGAGGAAAAGGGCAAGGTCGTCCGCGGCGAAGGCAGCGGTGGAAAGCTGGGTGTTCTCGTCGGATTGGCCAAGGCACGCGTCAACGAGCTCAGGGATACACTCAACAACGTCGTCGACCAGCGCGACGCGCTCAAGGACCGAGTCGGTGAGCTGGAGGAGCTGCTTACAAAGTTCAAGTCCGAGTATAACCCCAACTTCAACGACGAGGGTGTCAAGTCTGCCATTAGGTCTTTTGAGGACTACTCGGCTCGTGTCGAATCTGAGAAGAGTCAGAGGCAAGACGTTAATGACGCTGATCTCTTGAGTGTCCTCAGGGAGGATAGTGAGAGTAATGGCGTTAACTGGAAGGAGTTTGAGGAGGTTGACGGCAGCGACACTGACATCAGTAAGTCACACAACCCCTATCTACAAGATCATCACTAACATGTCCAGTCTACAACTTCGAAGCCTACCTCCCATCCTTCGCCCGCTCCCTTCTCCACGGTACCCTCGACTCCCTCCGCGTCTGGCTCGTCACAAACGGCCTCCTCGCCGACAACACAGCCCCTGGCCAAGAATCCACCCTCGTCCGCGCCGCCCGCGAAGCCCTCGCAGCTGCAGACAGAGACCTCGAGAAGAAGGCCAAGTCGCTCGAGTCAGAGCAGGCAGACCTCGACAAGGACTACGGCCCCGAGGGAATCTTCCGCGCCCTCAAGGGCAAGTGTATCAGCCTCGACGCGGGAGAGTACACGTACGAGCACTGCTGGCTCGACAAGACGATGCAAAAGTCAAAGAAGGGACACGGCCACAGTGGCATGGGTTTCTTCAACCGCGTCGACCACGACATCGCAGACGACGAAGAACGTCTCGACGGAAAGAGTCTCGGCAAGGGAGAGCGCATTGTTCTTCGGTACGAGGACGGTCAGCAGTGCTGGAACGGTCCCAAGAGGCGGACCGACGTGTGGCTGGGCTGCTCAGAGACCGAGGAGCTCTGGAGGGTCAGCGAGATGGAAAAGTGTGTTTACAAGATGGAGGTTGGAACACCGGCTGCCTGTGATTTTCAGGAGATCGCTGCGAGGCAGGCCTCTCGGGGAAAGGATGAGCTATGAGGAGATGGATCAAGGTAAATACTATGCCTGCTATCGCATATAAAACAAGACTTTGACTTTGACTTGATCTATACACGCTGATAGAGTAAACTAAATCACCGGCGTCGCTTGAGTGACTGTATAAAAACAGCCAAGTCGTGACTGTTATAACACATGCTACTCGCTCGTACATCAATTACATCTCCACATGTAAAAAGAGGCAATTCCCTTCCGTCACGAATCAATCCCTGATATCAATCATCAAAGCCCTCCCAACTCCTCTAAACACATCTACAAAACAAGGGGGTATCTCAGATCCCACGCAGAGACAAGCCCCCGTCTACCAGAAGCTGCACCAACCGATATAGTGCTGGCACAGATTCTCCAGCTTGGTCGCCTCCATGATGAGCTTGTTGACCTGGTTGATCACGTCGAGCTCTTCATTGTTCTTAAAGTCCCGACCCGTGAGCTTCTGCGCCACGCGGTCCAGCACCTCGACTGCTCGCGCGTTCTGGCTCTCCACCTCCTGAGTGCCGTTAACCATGGGGTTGCCGTCTTGTGCTGCTGAGCTGTTGGTCCTGGCTCGGCTTCGTGTTGGTGGTGCAGAGGGCTCAGCTGCATTGAGCAGCTCAGAGGGTGCAACATCGCTGTCGAGGATGGACTGGCGTCTAGCTCGGACTCCTCCCGCGCCAGGGATTGGTGCGTCTCTCTCAGAGCGGAAGTTGGGGCCTGCTGGCGAAGCAGCATTGGTCAATCGCCAGGTAAGAAGGGGGTCATGGATGAACTGTCACCTGTTAGTATCATATCACATCAACAAAAAATGAGGCAACTCACCGCTTCAAGAACAGCCATGACACTCTCCTTGTTGTCTCTCAACACCCTCATCACGTTCTCGCATGTAATCCTGAAGCTACCCTCAATGTTGCTGACCTCCATCGCATACGTCAACATGCGAGTCAGTCGGAAGGGAACCCGCTCGGGGTATTTCTCTCGCTTCATGGCAACCTCGAAACAGTCACCGAAATCAATGTGGATGATCTTGCCAGTGACTCGGTCGAGCATCAGGTTGGAAGGATGACGATCTCCCAGACCCAGGATATAGCCCACCATAGACATGACACCAAGCGAGCGTGTGTAGTTTGTTCTTCTCTCAAGCCAGGCCTCGGACGACTTGGACTTGAGCCACAGCACACGGTACAGATCTTGGCCCGTTGTGTTGTCAAGCGCATAACCAAAGACCTCGACTTTCTGCATCAAGGTCAGGTTGTCGTAATCGGGCGCCATCTGGAGCATGATGCGGTGCTCAATGTTGAGCAGGATCTTGCGACTCTCGCGGTATTCCCTAATCAGCACGTGGAGAGTATCGCTGTTGGGAACCCAGCCCAGCAGACCACTATTCTGCGACAGCGGGATGGCCGGATACCGCTGGATGTTGAGGTGGCGCTTGTAGCACTCCGAGTCATGGGCCAGGAGGGTGTT